TTTCCATTAAATTTTGTGTGTTGAATCAAAATTTCTACTGCAGAAATGTTCAGAAAGTTGGAAAAGGCCTTCGGTGTTAATAGTTTGTTTGTAAAAGATGGTCGAGAACGCGTTGACGACGGACCACCTCCAGAGCGGCTATCAACAGCAACTGATGATCAACACGTCAATAAAATAGAGTGCTTGAGTTTCGATGATTAACAGTCAGAGCTCTTACTGATGTCAGTACGATGACGATCGTTGGAATATCAGAAGGTTCAGTAAAACCTATTTTTCGAAAAATTGACAGAAAAACAACATCACGTTAACACATGTGAAAAAATGCTTTCAAACCATCAATATATCAAGAAACATATTATTACTAGCGATGAGTTTTGGATCTATGCTTACGACCCGGAAACAGACAACCACTAGTCCGAATAGCGTGGCAAAGGTGAGCCATAGCCGAAAAAACTACGTATGTAAAGCAGGTAAAAAATCAAGGTTATATTGATTGTTTTCGTCGATTATCGGAGTGTGGTGTACTACGAAATTCTACCAACGGACCAAACTGTCAACAAAGAATACTATTTGAGTACTATAACAATAAATTATAGTACAAATATTTACGCCTAGAAAATAATAGCACACAACATTCTAAATGTGTCAATTAGGATTTAAATTCAATATCCACATTTACGGTGGCACTGCTATTAGATTTATGCACTTGTTTGGAATATTAATGCCGTTTAATTGGTTTGTTGGATCAATTTTTGAATTTTTTTATTTTCACTGACACATTTTACAAAGGCAATACCAACCGTTATAGACAATGTAAATATTTGCTCATATGCACATATATATATACAGTTGCGAGCATTGAAATAGTAGTGAACGGCGAGCTGATTGGACACAGATTATTTTTACTAAAAAATATTTAATTTTATCAATCAAAAAGTAAGTTTCTTGTTATTTTTTTAATTATCCAATGAAACAAGCTAAAAAATATGACTGTGCATATTTTAGTGGGCCGCGGGAAGCACTGCAGTGAAGAGAATGGACGAAACGGATTCAATCTCTCATAAACAACGGTAAATCCTACAAGGGAGTGGAAAGAATTGTAGGGTGTTAAGCCACAACGACTCACAATGCAACTATTTATAAAAATAGACGAAAAAAGGGGCGCAATATGGATTCTTTCCGAGAATTTTACACCAGTAGTTGTAAGATGTGCCAAGACTCGACCTAGAATGTCAGCTATGGAGATTCAGAATGAACTGAACCTGGCCTGCGGTGCTCATACAGTGAGAAGACTTCTACATGTCTACCGTTATTAAAAAAAATCATATAGCAAGTCGTCTTAAATTTGCCAAAGGACCGATTGAGAATTTGCCGATTGAGAAATGGCGCAACATCTTTTAGACAGACGTGTCGAAAGTTATTTTATACGGCGGTAAAGGGTCCCGTCAGTATCTAAGACGCTCCCCTAACAGAGAGTACGACCCCAGATTCAGCACAAAAACTATGAAGCTTGGCGGTTTGAATTTCATGGTTTGGGGTGTTTTTCTTACAGGCCCAATTTTTTTTTTATATCCCAATTCACAAGATTACTAGCATAACGGACCRRCACAAATTCGTGGATATAATGCAGTATATTATGATACCATTTGCTGAAGAGAACATCCCGCTGAAAAGGATATTTCAGCAGAATAATGACCCGAAGCACACCAGTAGGGTGGCAAAGGAGTGGTTTCGGGTCAATGGAATTGTTGTTATGGATAGGTCAGCTCAATCGCCTGGCCCCTATCCTATTGAAAACCTTTGGGCAGACGTTAAGAAAGCTGTATGGAATGACAAACCCAAAAACAGCAATGAGTTGTGGACCGTAGTGCAGCAAGCATGGCAGAACATACCACTAAAAAGATGCCAGAGTCTCTTAGATTCTATGAAGAGCCGTTGTAGTGCTGTTATTAAAAATCATGGCCATGCTACCAAGTACTAATATCTCGTATAGACGGAACTTTCAAAAATCCTTCAGTTTAAAAAATGAAAAAAAATGTATAACTTTACTACTATTTTACTGCTTCATTCAAATTAAAATATTTTTATTAATAAACGTAGCCAGGGAAATATGATAAACTTTTCCATTTCAATTGATGTTAAAATTGTTTAGAATTTTGCATAACTCACAGGTATGTAACACTCTAACAACCACTACTATTTCACTGCTCGCAGCGTATGTATATATACATGTATATATATGTATATCTACAGATACATAAGTTTTTTTTTTATTATTTTTTTGTATTTAAGTTCTAATTTCTTTCCCTTTTATTTCTAGTTCACTTTCCCGCGCGTAAGCCACAGCTCAGAGCCAGAACACTTTCATTCAATTGACACCATAGCTATTTGAGCTCTTGACTTTGAGTGCATGAATTCATACTTGCTATCTTCATATGTCATACACAACAACAATAAATACTTCAATTAGTAGTGAGGTGCTAGAAGTATTTATGGCAACAATTTTATCTATGAGTTGCTGCGTCATCCAATGTGAACTCCATTATTGTGTGTATTTAAAAATCATTTTGTTTTAATTAAATAAATATTCTCTGGATTCTATTAAAGTACCTCACACACCAAGAACAATCTTATGGAGTAAATTCAGCGGGATGTTCGAAAATCATGATATTAGTTATATGGGGACTAGATCAAGCTTTCCCTCTATTATAAGAATTTTTGGCACAAAGATACACTGTTATGAATAAAACACGTTCTCTCATTTTCATTGACATAACTAAAATATTGCCCGATATATTCACCCGAAAGTTCCAAAGTATTTATATTAGTTATAAGGGCAGTATTGATCCGATTGAACCCATTCTACATACACAGGTAAACTATTATCAGGCAAAGATTCTCTCTGAATTTTAATAGTATATCTCGTACATTGACCGATATTTTCGGCCAAAATTCAGCTATAGATACTGGGTTCCACATATTCGGTACCCAGCGGCTTGAATAGTTATGGTTATTTTTCAAGATTTTTGGTCATAAGTTGATATACTTCAAAGCCATTATTCGTACAAATTTGTATCCCGTTATATTAATTGCTGCTTGATTTGTGTACCGGAAAGTCAAGGAATCAAGTAGAATTGAAAATTCTGCTATATGAGAAGTTGGCGTTGGCGTATTGTGCGATTTCGCTCATTTTCGCACTGTGACATGAGAATGTGAGAAGAATGTCACGTACCAAGATATGTGATATTACCTAAAAAGTGGGCGGTGGCACGCTACAGGCATATGTACTTATGAGAGAATTAAACTTATGGATAAGTCGACCTCTACACAACACAGCTGCTATCCAGTCACAGATATTTCAGGAAGTACCCCCATAAAATGGGAAAAATCGTAGAGCCGTTATGCCTGCATAATCACGCGATAGAAAACGATGAGGAATACACAATCTTTAAATGTGTGCAATGTCAGCGGGAATGCACCGCCATAGAAGACCTGTTTGGCTCAATAATCGTGGATAATTTAATTAGCGTCTTGCTAGAGAGCGAAAAAAATTGTGGATTATCCAGAAATACATAGTAATTTCGTTACGCCGGAAAAGGACTTGTGTGCAGGTACGCAGGTGTAAATCTCTCAATGAGAAAAATGGAAGGAAACCTTGAAGTAATGAGTTTCTTTATAATGAGGGTTTTTTTGGTGACCAGCAAGTGGCACATACCCTTTCTGTGTGGACAACTCTGATGATGCGAAGGAAGAACATTTTCTTTTCCCTCTGGTCGCAAACCATTATAAATTTATACCCCCCATAGCTTAATTTAAGGGGTTACATGGATTTACGGGTTTCAAAAAATAACTAGATAACTAGGCTAAGTGTGCCGTCTCATTTTCTCGAAACTGTTTGTTTGAAGTCGGTTGGCAAGATTTCTTGAGAACTACTCAACCGGTCTTCATAAAATTTTACACACGTTTTTGAGATACAATTCTTAAAGACTTGGATGAAAGATTTTTTTTTTTTCTACTACAGCTATTTGCAAAATCCAATTTTCAGTTTTTTTTCCCTTGTTCAAGTTGTAAGTTGTGGTTTTAACTAAAACACGTATTTTTCTTTTCATTTTTGATCAGATTTTGATTTTGATTTTGTAAGGAGTTACCCTGCCAACGTGGGCAAATCTTTATTGCGAGCGGTTTTCGAAAATATGTCGCAATGGCCTAGTTTTCCTCAGCGACTTCTATCCATTTTCTGCTGCTGCAAAAACTGCTCATTTGCCCGAACCGACGATATTGAATTATCATAGCAAACAAACTTACTGATAAAAACCAAATGTTTTATTGGAAGAGTATGATTCAATGCAGCGGAAGATAACTTTTTTACAATTTATTATATTTTGTTCGATTTTACGCTTTAATACGAAGGATTAATATACATAAACTTTTGAGTCTAAATTTTTTTCGCAAAAATTTGCATTATTAATTTCGAGCATTTTTTTATTGTTTTATATATGTTT